ACAGAGGTTAGGGCCAGTTGTAGAGCCCTAAAATTGAAGTTTCCAGGCCCTGTGCCAGACCATCCCAGCAGCTGCCACGAGATGGCAGCCAGATAAGATCCAGTTTGTCATCGCTGCTGAAAGGAAATCAGTTGTGAATTTTTAGTCATAAAAGAAGGTCTCTTTTCAAGGCCCAACTTGCATTACTATTTTACTAATTGACATTTTAAGTGTCATTCAACCACTTTTAAAAAAATAGCAGGTGTGCTCTTTACAGTAATGCAGACATCAATACTAGATGCAGATAAAACAATTAAACTGGAAAAGAAAAGCTATAATTTAGTAACTCTTTAAGAATTTATGTTTCTTTCCCTTCTCAAGTTAACCTTTCAAAGCTGAAGCATTTTTATGGCAGCTGTAAAGAATTACAGTATAATTCTGACTTTGTTCACTTGAGATGTCTTTGCCATGAAGTGCAGGCTCTTAAACTGAAGGAGAGCATCTCCTGGCAGCTCTTGTCAGGCTGTCTGATAGGGACCAATTCCAGAGTTCATCATATCTCCTTGGTCAAAACAGCCAGTAAGTCTTGCAGGATGCATTTCTGTTTTCTTTTCCAGTGATGAAATTCTGGAAAGCCCTAATCTGTTGCTTAGCTTAATCTAAAACCACTCTGAAGACAATCCAAAACCACTTTTAAGAATATCTAAAATCTTAGCTACTGTCTCTGGTTTTTTTTAAAGTCATTATAAAAACCCAAATCTGATTATCTTTGAACTTTCATTTTTTGTTTGAAAATCAAATATCACTTCTAGACTTCACAAGTGAACTCTGTTCCACTTTAATTTCTGAACACATAATTGTCTTGAAAGTCCCAAAGTCTCAAGTTAAAGCTCCTTATGTTATGATGACTTGCCCTGCAATCCTACCTGGATGTGATACCCATGATCATAAATACCTACAATTGCATCCATGTCCTTATTGATCTAGAACTGGTGACAGGTTCCAGACTGATGGAGCCAGCCCACAGTGTCCACTGCTGATTTCCAGATTCAGAGCACTATAAGCAGCTGTGGAGCTGTTGTCTTTACACAGCTTCACCAGCCAGACTCAAGCCTGCTGAAGTTCCCTCCTTGCTCAAAAACTTCCTGAAATGTTGCCTGTTATTAATTGCTATAATTTTGCTAAGAGCACTTGTGACCTTCAGGAACTGGAATGGAACTTGGAAATTGTTCCATCCAAGGATCCAGTCAGCTAGGTGCTACTGATCTGGGCTGCATTTGAACTGATGCAATGGGAAAAAATTATCCGTGAAAATGTAGTTAGACCCGTTGTCCAGGCCCTTTGTCTTTCCCATTTCTGTAGCAGTATAAAGGGGATTTAAAGGACACTGATGGATTTCCATGGCAGAGGGGAATCCCCTGCTAGGATAAAGCTGGAATCTTATGCCATCTGATCTTTCTTTCTTTCTCCCCACATTAGGGATGTTCTGGGACACGTCCAGGGCAGAAAGGGACATGGCCACAATATAGTGTTCTCTGACAATCCTGAGCCAGGAAAAGACTCCTTGGGGGTGATCCCAGCTGGCACACAGTCACGGCCATTTGGCTGCTTTAACTTGCAATAGAGGTGGTTCAGCCTCAGGCTCAGGCCCAGAATGGAAGGAGGTGGACAGGTGGCTTCCAGCCATGTTTCCCTTCCTCCCCCTTGTGCTCAGAGCTGTGGACATCTACACTGTGTATTTAAAAAAGAAAAAAAAATATATAATCACTTTACCCATGTAGAATGTAACTGTGACTGAAGGAGGTGTTTAGAGTTCTCCTTGCATATAATGTTAGAGAGTAAAGGACAAGGGAGAGGATGGACACTTTCCTTCATGACGTGGGGGGGCCATCAGTCCACCCTGTTGGTCTGAGCCCTTAATTCTGTAGGCAGTGGGATGAGGGTAGTTGGTCTGGGAAGATGAAACCATGTCCAAAACAACTCATTGGTGCACTCTGAAAGTAAACAGGAACTCCTCAAAATAGCATTTGGCCAGTCTCATGATTTCCAGCGTGGAACTTGCTCTGCTAAAAGCTTTTTCTCTTCTTCCCTGTTACAGCCCCTTCCTTGGGCAGATGAGGCTGGAGCCACCCCTGGTGTGGGGATCCAGGAGTGTCTCTGTGCCTGCCCAGAGCAGCAACTGGGAACATGCCAGAAGGGCCTTAGAGCCAGGTTGGCTTGCTGGGTTTTTGTTGAGAGGGTGTGAAATATATCACACAAGTAATTAATGCATCTCTTATCTACATCTGAAATTAAAACAATGTCACTTGCATCTACTTGTAGTTACTGAGAATGTGGGATTTGTTGAGAACTCTTGCAAAACCCATGTGCTATCCCAAGCCTGGTGCAGTTTGTCTGACTCTCTACCAGGGTGTCCTAAATTTGTGAGGGCTGATGGCTGCTTGGCTGCCAGGCTGCAGTTTCAGTGCTTCATCTGCTGTTCAATGCTCAGCCCATCCTCTGCCCATTGCCAGAACACAGCCCTTCTGCCTACCCGGGGTGTCTTTGCTTACCTTCTGTGGTGCTTCCATCTCAGCCCCTGGGGTAGCCTGTGAGCAATATCAGGGTCTGGATTGAAAATCACCAGTTCCTTTTGCCTGAGCTAGGGAATATCCTTGAATATCCAAGATTTTCAATAGTCCCTTGTCCTCTTAAGTAGCTCTATCAACTCTTTGTAATTTAGAATCTAAAATCCAAGTCAAACAAGGTTCAAGACTTGTGGGCTGTTGCTGTTTTGTTGATAGTATTTATGGAAGGTAACAACCCTTCTGCAGGCTTTCTAGTTTATAACTACTGTTCAGCTCACTAGGAAGGCTGGTACATACTGGAGAAATAAGTTCCTTCCTCTCTTGCAGAAGTGATGATCAGGAATAAATTATTGATAAGAATTAAGCATGATAATTGGGGAGCATTCCCCTACTACTCCGTGCAGCCAGCCATTAGCATCCAATTTGCATTTTATACCATGCAGCAGGAAATGTTTAAGTTGACAAATAGGATATTTAATACAGCAACAGATACTTGGCAGTTAGATATTAACAACTGTTACTGATGTGATTTATTCCCCATTATACAAAGGGCATTACTATGTGAATATCATTCAGAAATTAACTCCAGTTTACTGAGAGGCCTTGGCTGCCTGACCCCTTAATATCCTTATAATGGCACCATTTACCATTCACAGGCTTATTCAAGTCATTCACTGCTGGATGTGTGTTGAAGGGGTCCACTGCAGGGCAGAAATGTGTGGGTGGGTTTGCATTTCTCACTGGTGTGAGCCTTTTTCACCTGGGGAAAACTCAGGGCAAAGCTGTGCTGGGGTTATTGGAGCAGAGAAGCCTTGCAGAAGCCACCCATGGTACTTCATCCACGGTGTGCACAGGCCTCACAAATCCTGCCTGACTCCCAAGGGCTGTAATGGTTTGAAATCTTGAGGTTTACATGAGGCTTTTATGTGACCTGCAGGTGGGTGGGGTGGGCTGTCCTGCCTGCCTGATTTCCTGTGAAGTTTGGTGAGTACAGATCTGAATTAGCACCACTAAACGGCACAACAGTGAGTGGCAGCAGAATAATGTCACCAGTTGTGGGTGCCCTGCCTGCTGAAGTGTCCCCTGCTTGATAAAGCCAGGTACTGCACAGGGAGCAGGCTTTGCTCAGCCCCTGTGATGGCTGGCACACACCCTGACACACAGATTGCACACTTCCCTGCTCTTTTTACTCAGGTTAGATTTGTCTCCTGCAACTTCCCTTTTTCTATCTCAAAATACCCATCTGTAACTCAAGGCTGACTTTATTTAACACTAATTATTCTTCAGCTGAAAACTCCAGGTGTGATATTAAGTATTTGGATAATTACCTATTTAATGTGATACAGGCTGTACAGCTGTTGAGCTCTTCTCCCTATTTCTAATTGTTGCTCAAATCTGGGTAGTTCAGGTCATTGTTTTGTCCTTAGCCCTTTGGTTTTCTCTGAAAATGTGTGTTTTAAGTCCCTGTTTGGAAGTGGTTTTTTACTGATAATGCTGCACCAGCACAAGAAGACTAAAGGTATGCACGAAAATAAAGGTATAGATGTTCCTTAACATGATGGCTGACTTGCACCCTTCTTGTTCTCTCTCTTTTTTAATTTTAACTCACCTGTTTGTGTTTTGATGAGGTGTGGGCAACAGACCTTGACCTCTGCTATAGTGACCAGCTGGCCTTGACTCAGCTCCTGTTGTACATGACAGATGGAAACCTGGATTGTCACTCCAGCCGCTTGGAAGTATCTCCGGGTTCAAAGCAAAGGCAAAGGCAACCTGTTCAGCATGGGGAGGCAAAGACTGTAAGCAGTAATTTGTTTGCAAATAAAAGTATTTATGGTAAATACTAGGAAGTTAAAATCTGTCCTAGATCATTGCTCTAGAGGAGCTGAAACTACTCCTTTCAGATTTTAAACTGCTACTTTTAGATTTTACAAGGTTTATAAAGTAAATGGGGATAGCATTATGTTAGAAATTAAGGGAAAGGTTCTGGATGCTTATGGGCACCTAATTATCCATCCTTTGTGATCAGTAATATTGATTTGTGGTAGTAACTAACTTCTAAATATGTCAGGTAGTTTTAAAGTTGTAAAAAATGCAGTAACTTAAATGTTGCAAGAAAAAGGAAGGAGATGAAAGCACTGGCCTGGCTGTAGGAGTAACTTAAAAGCAGCCAAGAAGAAATCTGAGCCTTCAGCCCATGAGCTCTGATTTGGATCAGAAATTGAACCACTGAATTTCTAACCCCTACTTTGATGCACAAAAGGGGGTAAAACAGTCAGGGCTACATCTGCAGAAGGATCTGGACACCTAAATCTCTTCTGGCTGTCACTTGAGTTAAACCCAGATCTTGCTTTTCAGAACTGTCATTCAGTTCTGCATCCATCTAACTGCTCAGTATTAATTATTCAAGTGTTAATTATGGACAATGTCTTTTGAACAGGGAAGAAAACACATTTCTGAAAACTCTGAGGATTCTGTCCATGATAGTGCCCAGGGATGGGTTTTAGAGAGGAGAGTGTTTGTGTGTGGCTTTGACACCCTCATAAACACACTGGCACAGAAGCACAGTTCACACACCTTGTGTTTATTATGCTGATTTGTTAAATTGGATCAATCCTGGTGAAGGATTTACTATGGCTCTGAACCTTGAGCCCTGTCCCCCTAAACCAGGAAGGAAGAGCCTTCAGAAAGGCCAGAGAATAAGAGGCATGGGTATGTACACACAGGGAGGTGAAACAGGTGCTATTCTGAACATTTTGACAGAAGATTCACAACTCCTTTCTTTTCATACATGGAAGAGGAACGTAGCACCATTCCAAAAATGTCATGGAGCTATAATTTAGAGGTTAATGAGCTCTTGATTGAGCTCTTGTTCTTGTCAAGAAACCACTTTTAGTTGGAGAGAAGTGAATTAAGATATGATTAGTCCCAGTAGTACAAATTTTAGAAATTAAAAGTAATCAAGTAGTAACTTTTTTTAAATTAAAATGCTGTCAGAATTAACATAAATTGTCACTATATCACTTATTTTTCTTCTTTCTTTATTTCTGAGGGTTTTATCTCCTGAAGAGTTAAATACAAAAATGCACTGTCTTGAGAAAATCTCTTTAGAAGAAGAAACAAACAAACCAGGAGACAAATGCTTTTACAGCACATGATCAGTAATGAATGATTAAGTAAAACACTTTGTGTAAAATTATGATGTTAATAATGATTCTGTCCCTTTTAATTTATTATATATTCTCAACCCTGGTAGGTTTGATTTTGATAAAATGGAGCAGCAACTGAGTTTGTGTGATGATTTTATTTTTAGAAATCCTTCTTTGAAAGAACAAATTTCCTAGATACTGCTGCTACTGTAATTATGTACAAAACCAATCACTCATTATAGTTAGGATACATTATCTTCTAGACAGATGAGGCTAAATAAGCAAGACATTAATAATTCATCCTGCAGTTCATTATGCCTGTGTATGCATGCTTTGTAGCTGAAATAAGCACCTCATCAACCTGATGCCAACCCTTAAACAATAGTTCTGTGTTATTGCAGCCACACTCAAGTTTACGCTTGTTAAACTGCTACTTGGATTATTTTATCAAGCATTCATTTATTTGTGGTCCCCTACTGCAGAAAACAGATTTTGGAAGCTCCTTTTTTAAGTTAATGACTTGAGCAATGGGTGTTATTAATTCTCAGAATATTATAAACATGATTAATTTTCAGGCAGAGATGTATTATGTAAGGATTCCAGCAAAGTCAACTTAAATGAGTCAATGTCAAAACAGATACCATTTTAGAAAAAAAGACTGTAAATTATATGCATCAACGTGGAGTATCCACACTCTGAGGGAACAGCCCAGAGTTAAAAATAACATCACAGGAAAGCCTTGGTTTAGGAGAACATCCCTGTTCAGTTCTATTCAATGCACCATCTCTGTTCTTCTGTCCTAAGCACTGAGAAGAGTTTAAACTCAAGTGTTGTGCTGCTTTTTAACCATAGGAGGAACTCCATGTTTATTTGTGCAGCTCCTTGGGGTCAGTGGGCCTCATCTCCTCCAAGACTTGCTGGAAAAATTTTGCCCTCTAATACAAGCAGAATGCTCAGTCTTGGAGAAAGCCAGATAAAATTTAGCTTTAGAAAAATTATTTACAACCTTTTATTCTCTGGCAAAAACAACAGGTAACTTGCTTTGGAATTTCTGTGGCTGAGGAGAACTGACTCTAGTACAACATACATTTTTCCACAGGGTAGGTTGGATTCAGAGGATCCACTTAGAACAACTGCACAGGGCTCAGTTACCAGGGAAGCTGTGAAAAATATCAAAATGTGGTTCCTAAAGAGTTATTCTGTTGGCCTGATCATCAAGGTTTTAGATAAAGTGTGAGGTGAGAGTTTAATTTTGCTGCAGGGAAATGGAGTCTTGCTCCCCACTTATGTGAGTTCCCTGAGGATCTGGCATTTAAATAGTAAATTTTTGGTTTCTGATGTAAACTGGTCTGAAAATAAAGGATCTGCTGTTGTTTTCTCTAGACTTCTCCAACAAGCAGCAGGTGTGCAGTAGCAAGCAGCCAGCTGAGGCACTCCAGCCTTTCAGTCATCTACTACAATGTCCTCCTGCAGAGGTGTAAAGCTCGTGGTGTTGGATTTGACCTCCAGGTATGAACAGGAAAGATGAGAAGATGTTATGCCCACTCTGCATAGTTCTTGTTTGTAAGTTCTAATATGATGAAGCCACTTAGAACCATGTAAAGTTTAAGTGTTCTTCTCAGCATAAGATAACATTTCAGTGTTGTGTTAACAGCACAGCAAGGTGTTGCTCAACAGGGTTGCTGAAGAGGACTTGGTATAAATCAAAATTGGTTTTATTTTAAATTGTTTTCATGATGCAATTTAAAATAATATTTAATAATAATAACAACAATATTTAATAATGATATAATCTGAATTGTAGAAGAATTATGTGAAAGAGTGTAGAAGATGTTTCAGGAGACAGAACAGCAGATGGAGATTTCAGATCCTGGTCCACTGGGCTCCCCTGGGAAATGCAGAGTTTTATGAACCTTTCCCCAGGGATGGCACCTGCTCCTGAGACCTCTCACAGTGACACATGGCAACTGTCCCATAGTACATCTAAAAACCAAACCACGTTTCGCTACTGACCAAACTGTCACGAGTATCAGGCCCGTGGTGAAGCAGAGCAGAAGGCTGATGAAAGCTCCTGCCCAGTGTATACCCAAGTGAAGGATAAACCTGAAGGACATGAAAACCTGAGCGTACTTTGACTGTCTTTTAATTTAGGCATGTGTAAGGCTTGTAGGGGTTAACCTGTCTCATGATAAAAATAACTGTGTTGGGAGATAATTTCTAAGATACTTATGACCATCTCTTACTGCTTTGGAACAAAAACATTTGCTGTTAAATAGACTCTGGCCTGTGTGTGCTGTTTACATTAAGTTAATGCATTGTATTCTCTACAAGAAGTTAGAGCAATAATGTGAAGAATCAACCATTGCTCACAACTCAAAACCAGCCTTTCTTGGATATGTTGACGTACTCACTGTCCCTGCATCTTGCACTCATTTTATATACATTTATTAGCAGCCTTCCAGAATCTAAAGGGGCTCCAGAATAGCTGGGGAGGGACTGAATAATTAAAGCAACTTTGTCTTTTTATTTAACAGGAAAAACAGGGAACAGTTTTTATATTGTATGAAGATCAGAAGCGATACAGATTGGGAATGATGTAAGTATCCAGTGTCAGTCCCAGAGTCTGGTCAAGAGCTGGGAACACTCTGGATCCAAAGAGCAGACACCTCCACATGTGTTGGCCTGGCCTCTGAGAGAGGTCAGGAAGGAGAGGAGCCATCTCACCACCACACATTCACTGACTGTCACTGGCTCCTAAGAGAAGTATCTTGTAAGATTGTCCTTTTGAAAAGTTTCAGAGAGGCTTTAAGCATTTTAGTAATTAAAAAACAGGAAAGTTCAGGGATCTGGTTAGATCAAAACCTTCCTGCAGCCCTCCTGCCCCGGGCTTCCCAAGAGCTGGAGTCACTGGCACTGCCCATCTTGCTGGGAGAGCACAGACAGCACAGGGGCCCTGCACATGCTGCAGAGGATGAAGTTTAGAAAAGCCTTTTTTATGTTGTTCTTCACAAAGTGAGCAGTGTCAGGAAACATGATCTGACAGTTCAGTCATTCTTTAAACATACCAGCTTGTCCTAAGAAGTCTGCATGTAAGAAGTTCTTAAATGCAGAATCTGCCATACCCTGATTGTAAAGCTCTCCTCAGAGAGAATTTACATGAACTTCACTGCCAAATAGGAACTAATGAGTGAGGGGCTGAAAAAAGGCTGTTCTCAGGCTGTTCTGCAGTCCTTTGATACTGGAGCTGTTGTATTAATGACCTGGGTAAGGAAACAGCTTCCTTGAGTGCTGAACATGATGGCAGGTATTTTGGAGGGCAGGAATGGAATTCAGAATGATCTCAACAAACTGAAGAAACAATATGAAAAACTGAATTACATTCAGTTGGAACCAGGTGCAAGGAATTACATGCAGGCAGCAGTAAGGAATGTGAGGAATCACTAGCTTTGCAGAAAAGGATCTGTGAGTTGCAGTGGTTACAAATTCCCTGCAAGTCAGGATGCCATGATCTGCTGGCAAAAGGTGAACAATGTAATGTGGGAGACATGGGAAGTGAAGTGATCCTTCCCTTCTCCTCAGAGGGAGGCCATGAAAGTGTTCAGAGTTCTAGAAAGCACAATTTACAGGGGAGGAGGCAGAAGTGAGACCAGCTGACAATCTTCAAGCACATAAAAAGCCTCTGCAGGAAGAAAAAATCTGATTTCCATGTCTTTGGTAGTAGGACAAGAATAAATGAACTTAACTTGCAGCAAGGAAGGTTCATGTTTAGCATAAGAAAAATTTCTGATAGTAAAGGAAGCCCTAATTAGATTGTTTGGTGTGGTTGTCATTGACTGTTTAGTAACAGATGAGACAAACCTCTGTCAGGATGATGTAAGTAGCATTGATCCTTCCCTAGCACAGGGAATGGGCTAAATGAATCCTAAAGATTGCATCTGGGGCTGTGATTCTTCCAGCCTGTTTTGAGCTCCTTGTGGGTGAGGCTGTGGGCAGCACAGAAGTGAGTCAGGTTGGTTGAAAGCTTAAATATCCCTACATTGTATCCCCTTCAGTCACCATGTGGGCACTGGACCTCATGGAGCTGCAGGAGAAATCTGAAAGAAAATCACTAATCAAGAACTTGTAAAAAATATCTACAGGAGCCATTTTAAAAGTGACCTGAAAGTGTTCCATAAGCCACTAAATTTTCCTAACAGCCCAGAGATGTTGAAAGGTGAGCTCTTTCCTTCCCTGACCTTAGCTTGGAGTCCTGCTCTGGTTCTTTTGCACCTCTCCAGAAGGTGCAGAAGTACAGTACAGAAAGCTGTCTTCTCTTGGGTTGGTTTTCTGTGAGGCTAAGACAGGAATAGTCCATAGAGGGGTGATCCCAGATTTGTCTTCCATCAGATTTTCAATGCAATTTCATTATCTTAATTTGGAAATACATTCAAGGATGTAACAGTTTGAGCTTATATATATAAAAAAATATCACTGAAACACCTAAAACGTTGATGTGAATTGTCATCTGTTTTCCTACATTGGAGATCTGTTGGCAGTTCCAGTCAGGAAATGAGGCATGTGCTTTGTCAGCATAATAATCCTGTTCTATATGTATTGAGAGTCTGTATCTACCTCTGAGAAACCAGAACCCCAAGAGCTACAGGAATCTGAGAAATGCTGATACTGCTGAAATGTCTTTTAGGTGTCTTTCACAAACTGTGGGCAGAACCCAGAGCTCTTCTGAACTAATCTGTCTGTTCAGAGTGTTCTGCTGTCTCAGTCCTAACTCAACAGTAGCCTTTTACTTGGAGTAGCAGAAACCTCCCTTCTTTCTTCTGCTAAGTTGATTAATAAAAATTATTTATTGCACAAATCCTTTCTGTTGACAAGCTAAAATGGAGCCTCATCTTTCATATCTCCCTGAAGATTGCCACCTTGTGAGATTGAAAATACTCATTAAATTCCAGCAGCAGACAGGCACAAGTGAGACGGTGATTGTTTCTAAGCATGTGAAGGGAATCATTGGTAAACTCATTTGTTTCGATATCATTAACAGAACAATCGGAGAGGATCTCCAGGGGGTCCTCATGACCTTTGCTCGCAATCTCTTCATCATCCATCAAGAAATATCAGCACCTAATATGCAAGGCGAGACCAATTTTAAGGTGAGGTGTTAATTAACTAACGATCCTGGTTAATTTCTGTACAAGGGCTGAAGATACCTCATGCTGAATCATAAACAAGTGTTAAACCATTCCTTTTTTCTTGTTAGCAGTATGTATTTTACAGTGTCTAGGTCAATCTAGTAAATCTCCCAGTGAACCTGTTAGTTAAATTCAAGTTGGAAACTTCTGTTGAAAAGAGACATACTTTAGTGTGAAATGATGTGTCATGTAGTGCTCCTGATTGTCCTTTGTAAGAGCAGAGGAGTTCTTGGCACTGCCTCAGACAATTCTGCCACAATTGCCTTTTGTTTTCAAGGGACACCATCAAGGTAGGAATCTTCAATTAGAAACAAACTTCTCAGTTTATAATAGCTCCTCAGACTGTGAAGGCTGGTTCCTTTCAAGCAGGCAGTACCTAATCCATTAATTCACATCTTCCCCCCATCATCAATTTCACAAGTCAATTTTGTTCCCCATTTTCTCTCCTCTCTGAGCCTGCCCTCTGTGCCCATCCCCGAGTGCCAGAGGATGCCCTTGGGTGGGGCCAGGGCTTGTCACACTGGGAATGTTCCCCCTGGAGCTCCCACCTTTCCTCAGAAACTCCTTTGTGCCCACCCTTCTGGCAAAGGGAGACAGGAAAGCACTAATGAATCCAACCCCGTGCCCTGGAATGAGGACTCATTACAATGGTGCTTTTTTGATTCCAAAGAATAGCTCAACTTTCCGGAGGGAATTCTTTTGCTAAACTGCATCACCTTTACCTTTATGAAAAGTTTCTAAGATCCTGCCTGTAAGTGTTTTGTGAAGGGGAGCACTCTGCTACAGATTAGTATCTTAAGTCACACCATTTCTATCAGATTCTTTCCACTGGTAACTCTGGCTGTATTTTCCTCTGACTAACAGAGTGTGAAATGACACCTTTAGAGAATATATAATTAAATTTCACCATGTTCCAGAATAAACAAAAAAACCACCCCTTTTTTCAATATGAAGAAGTGAAAGGCAACCACTGAGGAAAAACAGAAAAGGGAACTCTTCTTCATAGTGAGTTAACAATGATTTACATGTGTGAAATAGAACACCTGGTAGTTAATTAGAAATACAAATTGCAACGAATTGGGGTTTTTTATTTACCTGAGATTTGTACATGTTCACTAATAATTCCCCCAACTGTCCCCAAAGTAATAGTAAATTTAATTGGTGCATCATGTCCCGTGTAACACTAGTTGCCTTCTCAAGGCAAGCATGACCAGCTGTGCATTTTGGCTGCTGGATTTCATTATAATGCCTATTAAATAACTTGTATTCCTTGAATCTGTTGCAGATGGCAATTCAAGATATTGAAGCAATTCTGGGAATTACAGCAGAAAACAAACTGAAATTGGAAGAGGAGCAACCTTCAAAAGCAGATGCTCGGGAAGAATAGTTAACAGAAAATGTTTAAGTGCCTTATTCTTTATGCTTCTGTAAGTGCTTTCTCATCTGTAAGAACAGGTTTGGTTTTCCTTCTGCATTGGCACATGAAGTTCCATTAACTGAGACAGGACATTGAATCATAGAATCATAGAATCATAGAATCTTAGGGGCTGGAAGGGACCTCGAGAGATCATCTAGTCCAACCCCCCTGCCAGAGCAGGGTCACCTAGAGTACATCACACAGGAACTCATCCAAGTGGGTTTTGAATGTCTCCAGTGAGGGAGACTCCACAACCTCCCTGGGCAGTCTGTTCCAGTGCTCTGTCACTCTTACAGTAAAAAAATTTTTTCGGATATTCACCTTGAACCTCCTATGCTCCAATTTACACCCATTGCCATGGTTTCTGAGTGCAGAGTTTCCCTTCTTTCACAAAAATGACCTGTTGGAAAGCAGAGGATCATAATAGATGCCCCTGATGTTCTTCCTGTTGTTCCTGAATCACACAGTGTTTTAAATCTTATTAATGGAACACACAGAGGGATCGTGCTACTTTGTCACTGCAGACTAGGAGGTCACTGAAATTGAAAGAGGGGAGAGTTAGGTTAGACATCAGGAAGAAATTCTTCACCATGAGGGCAGGAAGGCACTGGAACAGGTTGCCCAGGGAGGTTGTAGATGGCCCCTCCCTGTAGGTATTCAGGGGCAGGCTGGATGAGGCTTATGCAGGCTGGTCTGGTGGGAGGTGTCCCTGCTCATAGCAGGGAGGTTGAAACCTGATGATCTTTAAGGTCCCTTCCAACCTTCACCATTCTGTGATTCTGTGATCATACTCTATTGAAGAGTCCTTGTCATCCTAAACACTTCCTCAAACCTGTTGTCTTCTGAAGTACAGACTTTTGAAATGAAAGAAGGTCCAGTGTTCTTCTGCCTATAAACGAATACACTGAAATGCCATCTTCTCAGGAAGGCCAGCAACCCAGATTCTTCTGCAGAACTGACTGTCTTTCTTGTTAGCTTTCTTCTATTTCTTTTATTATCTACAGATTTCTGCAGCAGTTGTTTTAAGTTCCCTTTCAAATGATGAGAAATAATTAACGGCACTGGTTCAACAATTGAGAGGACCATTAGAATTGTACCTGCTCTATGGTTCCCAGTGTACATGGCCTGTGCAGACCTATCTGTCCATCAAGTACACGCTGTGTTTCAGATGCTGATCAATTTTTTTGTCAGAATTGCTGTGCAGTGATTTGTTAAAGGACAGCATTTGTATCTGTAAAACTGTCTGTCCTTGAAATCTCTCATCTCATCCCAACAGAGGAGAGCATCTTCCCCATTGGATGGGCACTACTGCCCCAAGCATGGCAAGTGTCTTTGAGTTTACTACTTTACAAAAAGCTCAGACAAAACCAATTTTTAAGAAGAATGAATGAATGAATGTGACCAAGCAGTGGCAGCACATCAGTGCCCAGTCTTTCTGATGCTCGAGTCTTTGATCCATCAGCTTCAAACGTTATCTTTTGTGTTAGCCTTTTCCTCTTCTGCTTTGGTCACAGAAGTAATTCATAGATGAGACTGTTTGTATAAGTGCTGACCCCTGTTTCAATTAAAAGTCTGGTGGTTTGGTTTATTCTTGTTTGCTTGGTTTTGTTCGTTTCTTACATGTTACCTGGAAGTCTTTCTGGTTAGAAATGAAAGCAGCAGAGGTGTTTTTGGTTGTGGTAGGTACAGCAATGATCTCTCATGATCTGCCAAGAAATAATATGCCAAAAAGCAAATTATTAGTTCTTCCAACAAGATGAGATATATTTGCTCTCTGTTCTGCTTCGAGGGGCTGAAAAACAGTATGTTGTTCTGACATTTTCCTCACCACATTTATAATGCACTCCCTCCTCTTTTACTGCTCAGAAGCTCTTTGCAGATTCTCACCTGGCTTCATACCCAAGCTAGGTGACATCCCAGTTTGGTCAGTAGAAGGAATATCCTGGAGGAGAAGGAAGCCCAGGAGAGCATGGCAGTATCAGCCTAGGACTCAGCTAGTTTCTTAAGGGTTAAGGAAAATGAAGCCTCCATCCAAGCCAGAACAACATAAGGTCTGAGAGGCTCATTAGTTCACTGGCACATTATAGGCTGCAGTGTCCTAGGAGTAAAGGAAACCTGCACTTCCTCGTGCCTTTGTTCTAGCCTGACAAAAGAAAACTGTACCTGTTTTTGCAGGGAACAAGTGATCTGAAAGTTCCCGTGGTGAGAGAGATTTCTCAGTATGTGCAAAGTGTGAAATGTGTTTTGAGACAAAAAAGTTTTTAATTACTATTAACACTTGTGAGTGTTGAGCTGATGGAAGGATTGAAAGTTCTTTGCAGTCTCTCACATTCAACTCCCATGATGTTGGTGCCAAAAGTGTATTTTTTTAGCAATATAGCAGATACTAAATGGAATAATTATCTTTTAAGTCAGAAATACAGTCATGATTCTCCTGTCCCCACAACTGGATTATTTATTCCCACTCGCTGAAGGAATAACAGAGTTCTTGAACCACAACTTGAACTTCAAAGCATGATCTAGACTGGGAAGAAAACAGAGGAACTGGAAGTTAAAAGGTCATCACAAATTGCCAAGGAATTCTGCAGCTAAGGACAGCAAAAGCCCAAGCTGGTTCCCCAGCTGCACAGTGAGAAGGAATGCTTGTGGAGGGAGATGAGGGGCAGTGGGGTTTGACATCAACAGCAGAAGGTGCAGACAATTAAAATAAAGGTCTCATGCTCCTGATGGGCCAGAGCTCCCAGTGAGGATCTGCACTCAGCTGAGAGCTGAGGACCTCATCTGTGCAAGAACTGATACTGTCTGGGGCAGGTCTGCTGCTCTGAGAGAACATTACCTGGAGTTGATACTGAACACTGGGTCTCTCTTTTTAGATATTTGGTTTAAAGCCCTGAAAAGGAAAAAAAAAAAAAAGGCATTCAGCCCAAGTGTCCACGCTTAGACTGACAACTCTGAGGACAGCAAAAAAGCAGTTATTCAGCACAACCACTTCCCAATGGCTCCTGAAATAAAGAATTCACTCAACCCATTTCCTGAAAGGTGTGATATCTCATTCAGATACTTCAGAATTTACGACCTTCCATCTAGATTAAGGCAACAAATCCCTGGAATGTTAAGGCTAAGCTGATCCTCAACATTTCACAATGGTCACCAACATCACTTCCCACTGAACAAATCACCTAGCACAGCTCTGAGGTGCTCCCTCTTTGGGTGTACAGGTGCTCTATATGTCATTTGACCACAGATTTTGTTACAGCAGCCAGACACTAAAGATCAGGTGCTACAATCCGTGACAATCTTCATGAATGTAATTTAATACATCATCTTGACTGAAGAATGGTTAGACTGGTTTTTAGCTCCATCCCCAAGATGTGCATTTCAGGACCCTGTTCTGGTGTAAACACAATCAGCATCCAGTGAAGACAGAGACCTGAACTCTGCAACCAACTAGTGAAGACATTTAGAAAACACTTCTTTGTATGTCTGGCCTCATCTTTAAAACATTTGGTCATGATTCTGGGATACTTTTGAAGTGTGCAGTGTTTTGCTCTGCATTGGTAAATACAGACACTCCATTCCATCTGCAGGGAACACTGTGCAAGCAGAGGTGCACCTGTGTTCTCATAACCAGTGCCAGGCTGGGGGACTTTTCCCTTCTTGCCCTTTGAACAGGAAGAGGGACATGAACTATCTTGAAAGAAGTACTTTTTAAAATCAAATTATAGGAGGTAATTCTGCCCACAAAACCCAACAGCCAAATATCACTGTCCAAGTGTCACACACGAGGTGACCCCCCAGCATCAGATCCCAACTGCTCCATCCTCATTGTTGCCACTAATAAAGTCAGATATTAAAGCTAACTATATGCTCTATTAATTATAGGAAGGTGAACTTGAGTCAAATTCATGACTGACGATGATTAATAATTACTGGTTTACACACGAGTATTACACTGCAGTAAACAAACAGGGTACGTTGTTGTGTAGTAATTGATTAATTAGCACATTCCTACTGCATAGCTCAGTGGTTTAAGATTGCTGAGTTTGAGGTATTGCTTGCAGTTATTAACAGGAAAAATCTGTTCCCATTTCTCAGTTTACTCCTCTGTTCAGTCTTTTTTTTCCCCAAACAGACTGTTTAATGGCTCAAAACCTTGGCCTTTATTTAGAAAAATCACGGGGCATCGGTGATGATTTTAAAATGTTTCTTTTCAAAGGGGCCTAAGACTCTCCAAGGGCTGTTTTTAACCCGACATCACTGTCAAGCGTCACCAAGTAAAACGGGCACAACACACGCGGCATCACCCGCTGTGCCGCACGTGCCGCAGCCGGGCCATGAGTGTGAGCAAACCCATCTCACACCAGCGTCACCGCCCGGTTCCGGGCGTTATTCCCCCCGCCGTCACCCAGGGACCCGGGCCCGGCGCCCTCAGCCCGGGTTGCTCGGCACAGACCCCGCAGGGCCCCCGCGGTGCCCGCCCCGTCCCG